ATTAAATCTGACTTTTTATCTTCACTTTATTATGTGAATAAGTCCTCTGGATTACTTCTTAAAGTGAACTGATGATGTTTAATTTACCAACAATAAGTAAAGTAATCCTTATTTTCCTATAGTCCCACTAAAATAGGCAGGCTGCTTTCAAATCATCTACAGATTTGTGCTTTATTCTCAGTTAATACAAATAATCACACAAGTAGAGGATAGTGGAAGTGTGTGTAATCTCATGCCAAAGAGGAAACTATATTTTTTAGAAAATCTTAGTGAATACAGCAGTGAAACATGCATTTTAGCTTTATTTTATTCCACAAACACACTCTTTCTATAGCGGTGAAGACACTTACTGACATTACAAATAATAATAAACAATAATTGATCAGATTTTTATAGCGCTTTTCTGGACACTCAAAGACGCTTTACACTGTCAATTATTCATTCACACACATTCATTCTGGTGGTGGTAGCTACGATTGTAGCCACAGCTGCCCTGGGGCAGACTGACAGAGGCATGGCTGCCATTCTGCCCCTCCGACCACCACCTCAACAATCCATTCATACGCACCAGGCAAGGTGGGTGAAGTGTCTTGCCTAAGGACACAATGACCACGAAACAGGTCACAGGGCGGAATCGAACCGCCGACCTTCCGATCATCGACCGACTCGCTCTACCACCTGAGACCTGAGCCACAGGCCTGAGTCACAGGCGCCCCCTATTTCTTACTCTAACCTTTAACCTTTACAGCTGAATTCCTAAGTACAACATTTACTGTAAACCTACAGTATACTGAGCTGAAACTTTAACTCTCAAACAGCCTCTTTGAGTCGTGAGGATTTCTCAAAATGTCCTGATTTTCCACTAAAAGTTCTCCACACAAACACAGAACAACATTCACTGATACAACTCCACGTTAATGATGGAGCTGAAGATAATCTGACTTTGTGACGCTTCAGGAACAGAAGACAGAAACACAAATCAGTCAAAATCAACACATTTATTAGCAACACATTTAGGGTGAATACAAAGCAAACATTCTTCATTGCACAGTGTGTTTCCCTTTTTTTATCAGAAGGTACATTTAACATCCAAAATACACCAGGACGGATTCTCATTAGCAGCTGTTATGTTTAGTGAGTCTCTTATTGGAGTGTTTTCTTGTGAAACAAAGTTCATGACAATGCCAGAATCCATCCTAAGCTTTCCTTTTTTTTAAGTTTTCCCTTAACTGTGATTATTTAAGGCATCAAAACAGTCAGGCTTGACTGGTGGTAGTTATGCAAAAACAACTATACAATTCTTCTGAGTTTGTGATTCTAATCCAATACACTTTTTAAATCAGGTTCAGCAAGTATCTCCTCACAGCCCACTAGCTGTCTGTTCTGTGTGTGCTGGAGACAAACATCCAGTGTTCATACACAACACTAGGTCTGCAAATAGGAAACAAACAAACAAAATGACTCGGACGGATCCACAAAACACTTTCAAAGTACCTCTGGAGCGATTACTGCAGTACAGTCATTATAAATGGGTAAAAGGTTTGACTTGGCCCTAAACAAGGTTTTCTAAAGTATCCTTCCTTGCAGTTTATCATTATATGATAATCATTCTATATTATTTCTAAAGATATTTATGGAATATTAGATTATCAAATATTTTGAGAGATACTTTTTTACAGTGACCCACTTTCACCATGTTTTTTTTCAGTGAAACTTGAGGCTATGTTTGAACAACAATATCTAATTATTAAAGATGGATTTATAATTGGAGCTGCCATAAAAAGCCCCGCCTTTGAGCACACATTAACAAACACTGTCAATGAAGAAGTCAACTAGTGGTATTTTCTGAGCCATATGTAGTTGCGTATGACAATAAAAATAACAAAACATATAGAATATGTTGTCATTTGACATACTTGGTCAAAAAATTAAAGAAAATAGAACTTTCATAATAGATTAAGCCGGTATGACAAATTCCATCCATCCATCCATCCATCCATCATCTATACACCACTTAATCCTCACTAGGGTCGTGGGGGGCTGGAGTCTATCCCAGCTGATTAGATTACCTAATCTAAACAGAATGGAGCTCCAGAGATTCAAAATGATTCTCCAAATATAATTAGGAAAATATATATATTTTTAATCTGCACATATTTATTTTTATTTTTTATCTTTAATGGTTTCTGAGATATTTTCATCCAATCATAGTGTCAAATTTCAATGTGTGAGAAAATATGCTGAAAGTGGGTGAAATATCTTGGAAACTATTTGATTTAGCAAGCTAAAATTGCAAAAATATCTTTGTAAACATCCATATTTTATGCTATTAAAAAAAAACTGAGTTAGTTCAGCAGAAATTGTTCCCAAAAATGTAATGATCTGAGATGGAATGACCCGACTATCTTCATATTCTTTATCTAGAACTGCAGACTCCATTTTTAGGTAGAGAAGCTATAACACTTTGATTTTCTACATTACAAATGTCCTGCCATCGTGACACGTACAAAACAAGGCTTTGTGGGATCAAATTCCTGAAATGAGACTGACACAGTGAAGACTAACAGGATAATACTGACCAACTGTTCTCTAAATGTAACAGAAAAGTGAAGCTTTCTCCTAAACAAATCTATTTTTTATGAAATGATACACATTCAGAATAAAATCAGTAACATTGTGTAAGAATAGAAGTCATTTTCCCTGCCATGGGGAATACTAAGTCCTGACAAATAAGTCAGAATGCCCATAAAAAAAGGATAGAAAATCCAACCATGAGAAAATATTGTTTTCTTTAGCACTACAGTAGAGTGTGCTGCTAAAATCCAGTTTAAGGTTAGAAAGGTTAGCAATGATTTAACAGGTAACTTTAAACTATTTTCTGATGGTGCACCTGGAAAAACATCTAAGCAAAGCCGCCTAAATGCACCAGGATATATTTTTGACATGTCCTACTTAATGGTATCTGATTGGCTGGTTTAGCAGAGTAACATAAAGCTGCTGGTAAGTGGCCTCGCCGTTGTAGCCGTACACCTGACGCATCTGTAACATGACGTTTAGGGTTCAACAATGCAGCACGAACAAATCAGCATTCAGTAAAAAGCTTGAAATATTTCTCCTTGATGGCCTGCGCGTGATCATTAGGACATGGCATCACCGGGAGTCGAGGCGGCCCCAGAAGCAAACCCGACACGTCATTCATCAGCTGTTTGTTCACGCCAAGATCGAAGCCTGTCGGTGGCAATAAAGAGTGTTTAAATATAGAGAAAGACCGTCGTGGAAAAAAATCCCATACGCAAGCATTACTCACCAAAGTTTGCGGCAAAACTCAGAAGCTCTTGGATCTTGAACTGCTCGTGGAAAACAGACAAAGATGTAAACGAAATTTAAAGGAAATATCAAAAAGGAAGCAGAGAAACTGGCCGTACCTGTATTTTCCTGGCTTGGTCGAGGTCATGGCTCTCAAAAGCAGACAGGAGCTTGTTGACGTGGCATCCTAAATAGTTGTAAGTGCTGCAGGCAGAGAAATTAACAGCTATTTAATACAGAGAATGGAAGAATACAAAGCGCTATGCAAATGCAAGATCACACACTGACCTGCCAACTGCTCCGTTGGCTCCCATAGGCAGCGCTGCCAGCAGTTGCTATGGTCAAATGAAAGAAATGGGAGTTTTAGGACGCCTGTGTGGTTGTGAGGCAATTCTGGTAAATTAATCGTATCAACTGGACTTGGTTGAGTTCCTTGAAGACGTCATCCAAGAGGCTTCATCAGTTCTGACTGACGAGTTGGGAGATCCAGATACTTATAACCAAAAGGAGCCATTAACACCTGAGTTTCGGTTTCAATTTTGGGTTTCTTGCAAACCCATATAACGAGGGGGAGGAGCAACAAACCCCCAACTGAAACCGAAACTCAGGTGTTAATGGTTCCTTTAGGTTATAAGTATCTGGAACTCCCAGAACTGATGAAGCCTCTTGAGATGAGAGGTGGAACGTCTTCAAGGAACTCAAGCAAGTCCAGTTGCTACGATTAATCCTCCAGAATAACCATGACCTGGATGACTGAGAATCTTCACAGACAGGTTGTCAGGCTCTTTCTAAGCATCATCTTGCAGCTACAGTACAAAAAGCAAGTGGAGAGGAAGGAAGAGACCGACCTCATCCACACCGTACAGTAAGGACCACCGAGGCGGACTGTAGCTGACACACCGGCCGAAGTCCATCAGGTCAGTCCCAGAGAACTTCACACCGCTGAAGGTGGGAATACGCTCCTGGATACCTTCTATGACATCTCTGGCTGGAACTGAGGGAAAGAAAAACCACTTCACATTCACATCACTAGGGACATACACAAAATATAAGACAGGAAGTTGAATCGTGCTCAGTCTTCGCCCATGTAGGCTAGTTGAACGTCATTAACTGTTACGTGAGTCTCTGTCATGGTAGCCCGTTGGTAGCTGAACTAATAATAAGATAAGATAAGAAAGTGACTCATCTCAAAGGGAATTCTTGTGCCAGATATTGATATCATCAGAAAACAAAATTACATATCATGTAAATGAGGTGTCAGGAAGGCGACCCAAACTTGTGACCTCGGATAAGGACTGTATCTAGGATTGATCAGAATTCCTCCCCAGGTTGTCCGGCCAGAACAATAATGATTATGAAATTCACATTCTCATGCCACTCTTTATTGAAGATGTGATTTCTGCACACAGACACAGCCTGAAATTGATCTGATGACAAGGCTAACTTCTGATTGGTGGAGAAAGGGGGGTGGTGTGGACAGTGATTGGCTGAATGGTTGCTGGGCTGTTACCAGGGCCTGCCTCTCAGATGTGATGAGAATGAAACTATGACAGAACTAATATAACTAATTATACTCAGTGAACAAACTTCCAATGAACAATACAAAAACGCAGTGTAAAGTTTGTTAATAAATTAACCTGAATAACTGAAATGTTTGGGTTAGTTACAGGCTCTGAGAAATTACCTGACTAATAAAAAGAAAAAGAAAAACATGGCGCCTCCAGTTTATCTTGTGACCCTTGTTAACATGTCACAAGAATAAATGCATAGAAAAGTAATAAGATGTAAGTATGATACATAACTGAAAATAAAAAAATAAGTACACTGGAATAAGAGTAGAACAGAAAAGTAAGCAGTAATACAGGCAAGGTAGCAAAGTAACATTACACTTAATAATAAAACATGCCACTTAACCGATAGCCCGCCATGATAATCAATAATTCAATAATTCATTAAAATAATTGAAATACAGTGGAGGTTTTCCACTATATGACACACGGCCAATTTTATCCAGAAACATTTTTCAATGCAAAATCGTATCGCCTGTGTTTCAATTTCAGGGACGGATGAAGTAAACTCAGCTATTTTGGACAACACGTTTAATATCATTTAATTACTACCTTATATGAACAGCGGTTCAATACTTTATGCAATATAAACCTGAGAGAGATAGCTTCACAAATGCTTCCGGTAAAGTCATTTACTGCAACAGAAGGCTCTGTCATGGTGGCCCGTTGCTTGCTAAACTACCCCAGCGCTCAACAGACAAACACAACAGTGAAAGGCGGTTCAACCAGGTACTACAGCTAATGTACAAATCTTCTACCATGCATCTCCCCTCATCTTCTGCTGCATCAATTAATCTTTTTTAAGTTGGTTAAGTCATTAACGATTAATCATCAACATCCCTATTAACTAGAGATGTTCCTTTTTCAAAATGCTATGCAAAATGTAAAACATCACGTACCTTTAACTCCAGTGATTGCTGGAATATGATAGTAGTAGAAGGGCAGATGTGGAGCAGCTGAAGCTACCTCCTGCAGGTACAACTTCAGAGCCTCTGAAGCAGGGAGACAAGGAAATAAATATACTGTATTTCTTTCTGTTTTGTTTTGGTTTTGCGTTTCAACTCAGTATATGTCAGCTTATGTGGAATGTCCATACATTATACCGAAGTTACCCCTTTTAAAGTGTTTAAAACGGGTGTTTACATAAAACTGAATGGATTAAGAGTCATTCCACCTCAATTCACTGAATGCCCCACGCCTGACCATCTTCAACATGACTTATATTATTGAGGTGGTGAATATTGATTTAGATGGTCAGGTGTAAAATCTGGGGTCATAGCTAACGCTAGTTTTTGAGTTAAAATTCCTAGATAGGGGTGGGGTCATGTCGATATATATTTTCTTCACATCAATTTGTGAAGCAAAGTTTAAAGTGCCATAACTTGGGAAATAGTGTAGCTCAAGTCTTGAAATTTGAAAGGTTTTATGGTTGGTGGAATATCGGAGTGAGAGAAACATTAAACATTTTTGACCAAATTTACGCCACTATATAACTGGTTTGTATTATTCTATCAAAGCACGGTTGCACCATTGAGGAACATATGTACATTTCAATGAGCCTGCAAAATTTCAGGACTGTAGCTACATTATTTCTCAAGGCACAAAGAAATCGCTGCAAAAGTCAACCATACCCCACCCCTCTCTATACATTTTTTACTCAAAAACTTGAAACACCCATGATCACAGATTTTACATGTTTTTTTTTAACTTAAAAGTATATGTATGCACAGAAAATCAAATATGAGATAGTAAGGTGTGAACTTATTTTTGGTGAACTGAGGTGGAATGACCCTTATATAAAACAATGAACACAAAAAAAACTTGAGTCTGGCGGTCTGCTACAACCATCAGCAGACTGTGTTGTGCTGTGAAGCATAACTTCAGCCCTTAACTCACAGTCTCACACTATTTGGGCCTTTGGATTTGGGAAACACAACCACTTTTTCATCTGTGGCTGATTCTCCCTCTGATGTACATTCCTCGCTGTCTCACACACAGACTGAACAGTGTGTATATTCTGTTTTTTTTCGTTGTTGCTGGTACAATAATACAGTTGAGCATCACTTTTTGTTGTTTTATTAATAAATTGTTTATATCTAACACATTTTGCTGCCATTTATAGATCCTATAGATTTTTTTCTGGATGCGAAGGGGCCGATACTGATGACCAAACCTCAAAGGTACAGTACTAATGCACATATGAAATGTAAAAGTGGATTTCAGATGGTAATGTGCATGTCTTTTCACTTGACAGTATGGATATAAAGGCTTTTCCTGCTAAAGTCACCACATACCTGCAGATTTGGGCTTGAGGAAGAATGGAGCCATGACTGCTATGGCATCAGCCTTGATGTCAGCTGCATGTTTAGCCTGGAAGAAAAATCGACATTGTGTTAAGTATTTGAATTATCCAAAATAATGCAAGATATTATAATATTACTAACTACTAAGCTGACGGAAACTACAAGGTTCAAAGATATTTGGGGCTTTTAGTTTCAGTATTTGGTAGAGTAAAGCTTACCAATATAGTTTAGCTTCTACTGAATTGTTTCACATTTTGCAAAATAATATCGTGAGATTGTCGTTCCATTTATTTTGCATTAATGCATCTTAATGTACACTGGATAAAGTTGAAGCACAGCGCTCTTAGTCTATCATTTACTGTAATTCTACCTTGTATTTAGTGATTATTACTTCATAGGTAATAACCAAAGTACATTTCCAGTGCTGTTTGCTTGTTTGTCTTTTACTACAATTACATTACTTTCATGAAGCTTGGTGAAGAGGTGGGCAAAGGAATAACCCATTACATTTTGAGGCATCACTTTCTTAAAAGTTTGCATTTAGGAAATTCAGATATTTGTTTCTAAACACAACATACATGCCAGAAAAAAAAACAACCTGATGAAAACATGTGACTAGACTGTGTAGTGCTGAATTACTGAGTTAACTGTTCACTATCACTTATATGTTGAGGATTATTTGGACGAAACTGAATTTACTGTGGTATTATTGCACGTTATTTTAAAAATGGAGTAAGTTTTTATTGCCTGCTTCCATGTTTTGGTTTATTACATACTTTGTGGTGTTTTAAGCAGTGTTCAGAGTGTAGCTGATAAGTATAAAACAGCATATTGCTCTGATTCCTTTTTGAAAATGTTTCTAGTTTGTTGTTTTAACAATTCACCCAGACGCTGAGGCACTCTATCAAAAGTACAAATTGTAGTATTTCTGTAAAGCAGCAACACAATTATTCATTTTCTGGTGGAAAATTGGACACAAGAATTTCCTTAAATTGCTCCAGCCAGCAGCCGGTTAGCTTAGCTTAGCATAAAGATTGGAAATAGAAGGAAACAGGTAGTCTGGCTGTGTTTAACAAAATCCAACCACCTGCAAGTGTGCACCTCTAAACCTCACTAACTGACATGCTATTCTTGTTTAGTCTGTGCAGGAACTGAAGTGTACTCTGTTTCCCTGCATCTTCTCACAGATATCTCTGGCTCTGGAGTTCTGTAGTTACTGTCTCTTCACAAACCTTTCTGGTCTTTGTTTTACTGTTTGTTATTTGTCTAATGTTGTTTTCTCTGTTTGTTCTCCCCAAACCCCAACCAGTCAAGGCAGGCAGTCCGGTTCTGTTGGAGGTTTCTCTGTTTACAAGAAATGCTCAAAGGGGGACCTGTTGGTTTGAACGGTCTTACAGGGAGTTATGGGTCAGACCGTCTTCTAGCTGGAACCAGTAACTCCCCCGAAATACGAAAGTAAATACAGTTTCAACATCACTGAACAGAAAATCTATTGGATAAAATAATGAAATTAAACCTGCTATACAGGGTGGTGAGAAGTTTTTTTATGAGCTTTATTATACTTGCAGTGCATTGAAAACAAGGCACATGTGGTGACTGGAAACACTGGGCACACTAGTCTGACTTAAACTAACAGGATTAGTTGTAATCCTGGTTATGGTTTAGTTAAACCTGAAATCTGGTTTAGTTAAACCTGAAATTTCCATTGAAAAAAATGCCTTGAAAGAAAGCCTGTTTGTAATTTGGACGTTACATGAAAGACATATTTTGAAGATGCATTTAATATCATTTTTACGTCACTGTGGACCACATTCAATGACTCACCAGTTCTTGGGAATCTTTAAGACTCATGCAACCGACATGCACAATCACCTCCATCCTGCAGAGAGACATGCATTCAAAGGAAACTTTTACAAACCGTCTTTCACCTGCAATACACTCAGTATATGTTGGCGTGTGATGACGTACTTGCCCTTGGCCTTCTCACACCACTCCTGAGCCAGTATCTTCCTCTCTTCAACAGTGAGAGACATACTCTCACCTGTGGTGCCATTCACTGCAAGCAAAGTACAGGCTTGTCTTATTTCACGCACGATTTACCACTTCACAAAAGCATCTTGGAAAAAAAAAAAAGAGAGAGAGGACAACCTAACCCGAATCTAAGTCTGATGAGTGATGATGAGTCAACACACACTCACGAAACTAGGGATTATGTTGTCAAGTATGTTAAAAAAAACAAGACAAATGAAAGACAGCTAGTTAAATACATAAACAGACATAAGACAAAGATCAGCACAAACATCCTCTGCTGAGTACGTTTTTGCAAAAATTTATGTGGAAATGACACATTAAGCACAAGAAAAGGCTCGGTGTGAACTGTAATGAGTCACTGGGTTTGGTCAGTTTAGAAGAATCTTCTTCACACTGTCTAACCTTTCTCTGTTAATCTGCAGATGTTGATGCACAATGGACTGATGCCAACAAAACAGTGTATTCCTTTTTAACTACAAAAAGTCAGATAAAACTGATAATTGAAGAGCTACACATGAGTACAAATCAAAAGTGTTAAGATCACTGTGCTTGGAAACGGTTTCTCCTCTACAAGAATATTTATATTAAACAAAATGAATACAGTACGATGAAATATATATTTTTTTACTAATAGCTAGACAGACTGGTATTGAGTGATCTTGAGAAGAAACTATTGTATTAGGCTTTTGTCCACTGGTAGTGCTTTGGAGCAATGTTTGTTCTTGGTTACACAACCTTTGTTTGAACAAGAAATTATCAAAAACGCACACAGTACGTCAAACAATAATAAAAGGATGTAGTTTGATAATGTTGTCAGGTGACGTGGGATCATGGGAGTTGTTGTATTCACCACTATAGGCAATGAAAATGTACATAAAGTGACTTGAAGTTCACAGACGACGTTGCATTTAGCTGCATATATGCACAGTACGACATTTCAGTGTAATGAAACAGGTGCAGCTAATGTCAGCTAATGTGAATTACTAACTTCTATGTGCACTGTAAGTCCCTGGTTGATGTGATATAATGCTATCGACAGGTGACCAAAGTGAATCGCACCGTGACATCAAGTAAAAAAACTATGGATTTGTTTGAGTTTGAGTGTTGTTGGAAAAAACTTGGATAATGTCAGTAGACACACAAACTGAATACACAACACTGGCCAGGTCATTTTTAAACATTTTTGACTGCGTTCACTCATAGTGACAGAGGAACGGTTTTGGTAGAACATTTGTTGGGAGGCGAACACTGCCATTAAAAGGGACAATTCACTGAAAAAAAAATAGCTAATCTGCTATACTGCAAGACCCAAAACCTTGGTAAAACTTTAAATTTTCCATGTGCCAGGTTGCTGCTCAAAGGTTGTTGTTGGTTCCAGTAGTGAGGGCAATTTTGAAAATGCAAACTCGTAGACAGCGGAAGTGAAGGGCAAAGTGGCGTAAAATGTGCTGGCAAAGGCAGGCTTAAACCAGTAGTCAAGATTTGGTGAATCAGACCAGTGTTGCTCCATATTTTGGCACCCAGATTTTCGTTCTAACTGCCAATGCCTATTAGTTTGCAATCCTCGTGATGACTGAAACAAAACACATCAGCTGACCCCTAACTGTGACTAAAGGTAACTCATTTCTTTTGGAAACTGGGATCATTTCTGTTTTGATTGTTGATTAGAATGACTGGAAGAGTTTCGTAACCGCCTAAGGCAGGGGTGTCGACATCCGGTCCTCGAGGGCCACAGTCCTGCATGTTTTAGATGTTTCCCTCTTCCAACACACCTGATTCAAATGATCAGGATCGTTATCAGACTTCTGCAGAGCTTGATGATGAGCTGATCATTTGAATCAGGTGTGTTGGAAGAGGGAAACATCTAAAACATGCAGGATTGCGGCCCTCGAGGACCGCAGTTCGACACCCCTGGCCTAAGGTGTGGTATTCCAGTGGATTTCCAAACCGAACAGAATACATTTTACAAAAATCTTACACAATTCTGCAACTTCTGTTTTTTGTTGTTTTGTTTTTTTAAATCACAAAGGTGGACAGGTCCTCACACTACCTGCCTGGACCTGAGTGCCTACTAGCAACTCAGCTCCATTTCATTTAATCTATTCAATGTTAATTTAGGGCTGCAAGGTGGCTCGGTGGTTCGCACTGTTGCCTCGCAGCAAGAAGATCGCCGGTTCGCGTCCCAGTGAGGACACCCAGGATCTTTCTGCGTGGAGTTTGCATGTTCTCCCCGTGCAGCGTGGGTTCTCTCTGGGTTCTCCGGCTTCCTCCCACAAGGTCTGATGACTCTAAATTGTCCGTAGGTGTGAATGTGAGTGTGCTTGGTAGTCTGTCTTAATGCACTTAGGCTATCCCATAGTGACAGGATTTTGACAATGATAACTCGTGGATGTCGTAAGGGAAGGAGAAAGTGGCGTTTAGTGTCAGACTTAAACCCATAGTCAACATTTGGTGAGTCAGACTAGTGTTACTCTACATTTTGACACAAGGATTTCATTTCAGCTACAACTTAATATTGATGAACAGTCATCTTGAGTATTAAAATAAAACATATCAGTCCACCCGCTAACTGTGACTAAAGTTAACTTTCTTTCTTTTGGAAACTTATGGGAAAATTTGTATTTTAAAGCTGAACAGAAGTACTGGAAGTGTTTCATAACTGACTGAGGTGTGGTATTCCAGTGGATTTCCAAACAATAATGTGATGCAATGCCCCAACTTTTTCTTCTTCTTCTTCTTTTTTAAACAAGAAAGGGGGTATATATTCTGCAATATGTAATATCCACAAGTGCAACATCAGCTACACTACTGTTTTTATAGTTCTTAGTACACCTAAGGATAATTTATCATGCTGTTTTCATCGATAAACTTGTAAATCAGATTTTTATACAAGATTTCTATATTTTACTTTTGCACATTTCGCTTTGTACTTTTTAAACGTTGTCTGATTTTGTGAATGCACTGAGAGGATTGCTGCTTGATGTGGTTATATTCTATTGTATTCTATCAGCGTGGTTAACAGAGGAACGACAGGTCAGCTGTGTGTACAAACCAACAAGGTCCATCATGTGACATTAGTGCTGATTCAGGTGGGGGGACACAGACATTTTGAAAAGAAAAAAAAGGGAAGAATTCACTTGTAAACTCACCAAAAACGCTGTTTACACCTTGCTTCTTTGTCAAGTAGTCAATATAAGGTACAATCTCTGCTAGCTTGACTTCACTGTTTTGGGAAAATGTGAAAAATATGAGAGATTACAGAGAATACCAAACATGCTACAGCACTCCAGGTCTGCAGTTTTAACTGAATGTGCACATTCACGCCCCAATCATATTAATCAGTGCATGGACAAATAATCAAACCAGAAAAATGGGCAACTGTTCCTTAAATCTTCTTACCCTTCTAAGGTGAATGGAGTAAATGTGGCAGCAACAAGTTTTTTACCAGCAGCAGGAGCCATTATTGACACAATAACCTGATGCAGGAACAGGGAAAAACAGGAAGACAGGAAGAAAAAGGACAGCTGTTAGCCCATAATTACATTTCTACCCTATACTAGCTTTTTATTAGGGATAAAACAAAAAATATTGCATCTTGCACCTTCATATAAACATGTAGGACATCCATTGCTAATTCGGGAAGGTTGTTCAGGAAGATGAAATAAATAGAGCCTAAATTTAATTCAAAAAGTATCCCAAACATACCTGTTAGCTCGTCTTTCCTTCTGTGCGTCTTGAACATGGGTTAAAATTTCGGTGAAGTGGTTTATCTACCGGTAACAACTTGTTTTAAAGGACGTTTCTCCGACACTCAGCCGGGATTTGTTGATGTGTTTGTCATGTGAGACCGTCTCAGCGTCAAGTGACGCCGCAAAGCTTCATGGGAAATGTAGTTACTGACCGAAAAACATTAAAATAAACCTAAACTTTCTTCATTTATGCGTTCAGAAATATTCAGACCACATTCCATCACATAAATTGTATTGAAACGTTGTTTTGTATTTAAAGGGCTGGATGTTATTACTTTCTTCATATATAAACTACAAATGCTGCCTTAAAGTGTGGTCAGGGTGTCTTTGTGTTGTGAAGCTTTAAGTTTAAACAGAGAAGAAACCAGAGTGGAAAATATAATTATGCATTCAGGACAATGCCCAAATATATACCAAACAAGAAAACACTGCTAAGGATAAAAATAAAATAAACTACCATAAAAAGTCAATTACATTACATTTAAGCATAAACATAATGACTATTAAGTCAAGTCAGCTTTATTGTCAGTTTTGCCATATGTACAACATACAGAGATCTGAAATTGCCAAACTCTGAGGCCCCACGGTGCAAAATGAACATAGAAAAAAAGGTATAAAAATAGCAACAACAAAAAAAGAAGAAAAAATAGAATATAGCTATAAACAGGATATAGACAATAAACATAGACTAACTCTAGCTATCGACAATATAACAGTAAGTACACAATAAATAGACAATAATAAGCGATATGTGCAATTCCAAGTGAAGTGGCAAGTGGCTGGAGCTGTCCCTGAGAGTAGCGTGTGTGTGTGTGTGTGTGTGTGTGTGTGTGTGTGTGTGTGTGTGTGTGTGTGTGTGTGTGTGTGATCAGAGTCCAAGGTTTGAGTGTGTGAGGGGTAGGGGGAGGCAGAGCAGGGAGGGAGTTGAGCTTCCTGACTGAAGACTCTGAAAGACAGATGTGTGAGGTCACCTATAATATGGAGGGCTTTGTGGATCAGACAGGTGTTATGAATGTCCTGAAGGGAGGGCAGAGAGGCACCAACAATCTTCTCAGCTGCTCTCATTATACGCTGGAGGGTCTTTTTTGCAGAATGCGGTGCAGGCACTGTACCACATCCTGCATCTGGTCAGAACACACTCGATGGTGCCTCTGTAAAAGATGCACATGATGGGGGCTCTGGCTCTTCTCGGTTACAGTGCAGACGTTGTTGAGCCTTCCTGATCAGTGATGCAGTGTTGTCAGTCCAGGAGAGTTCCTCCGTGATGTGCACATCCAGGAACTTGGTGCTGCTCAGACTCTCTACAGCAGCACTATCAATGGTCAGAGCAGCATGCTGGGTGTGGGCTCTCCCAAAGTCCACAGCAATCTATTTCTTCTTATCCAAGTTCAAAGAGAGATTGTTGTCTTCTTAAACTTTATTTCCATTTCTGCAAAGAAAGCAAGCACGTACGTTTATGTTCCATGAACCATGAAACCATGAAATATCAGGTTTGATAGACTTATTAAAATTGGGCAAATATGAGTTCCGACTTAAAAATGATAGTAGGGCCTTAAATTCAATCACACACAAGTGCACGTGATTTCTTAAAGTTTTGCATAATAATAATAATAATAACAATAACAATAATAATAATAATAATAGTCATCATCATCATCATCATCATCATCATCATCATCATCATTATCATAATAATTAGAATAATCATAATAATAACGATAAATGTAGGCTCCAAATACTAAAAATTTAAACTGCGAACAAAATCTGAGGCGTTTCAGTAACATATATGTGTCTGATTTGACCCTAAGTGAAGCTTTGTTGCCTTTAATTGTATGGATAAACAGGAGGGGCTACAGAAGCTCTGTAATTTACGAGCTTTTTTCAGGGGCGTCTAAATGCAACACAAGAATGAAGTTGACTGATGGGTTCAATTTGACTTTTTAGTTCCTGAGCACCGACTTTCAGGGAAGCCTTTCAAACTTTATATACACTATGAAGCCATCCAGTGGCTTTAAATGATTATATTTCCGTTAAATTTACATATAAAGAGTGTTACAGGAAGAAATTAACCGCAATAGAGTAGATTTGAAATGTTTATCAATGCTGCCTGACAGGCTATGATCCGGGGAAACTATCCCTCAAACCAGGAAGCGGACGTTGTTGACGCTTTTTTCTCATCGCTACGGCTTCTGGTTTTGAAGGCAGCTAGCTTAGCTAAACAGCATAAACACGGCGAAATTTTCCGCTTTTTTAACCCGAACCGACGTTAAAGATAGCCCGGCCAGGCCCACTCTTCAACAATGGAGACGATTTTTCTCGATTTGTCTTGTATTCCCGCTTCGCCCGTTGTTAACGGCCCGGCTAGTTAGCACAGCTAGCTAACTGGCTAATTAAACCCTGACAAGTGCTCGGCTGACGAAAGAGAGCTGTCAAGAGGAGGAAATAATTAACTCACATGCTTTGAAAGAAGGCTTTACAGTCCACACACAAGAGTGATAACAGGAGCTGGTGTGAAACGGGAGCTTCAAGAGTTGCTGGTTTGGTTTAATTTGCTTGTTTGTTAGGAGAAAGTGAACGATTCGAGGAGAAGGGATTTAAACATTAATTCGACAAGGACTCCTAACTTGCTTGATTTAGTGTGAACAGGGAGTCATGGAGATGGCGTTGAGCCTTCACAGATGAAAGCACAGGGTTTCCTTTTAAAACAGCGTTGTAATTTTCATGTGTAGATCCCTGGATTCGTTTGGCTCTGGCGGATTTGCTGCTAAACAGACGTAAATGTGAGTCTTTTGCTGGTCAACGTGTCCTGTGTGCTGTGGATCCAGGTGACAGCTTGGAAAAGTAAACAGGTGTGACAAGAGGACGTGGAGCAAATGCTGCCTGCTTCATCTCAGCCAGGGACACTTGGATATCTGGGTACTTGAAATAGCAACATTCCTACAAACTGTTCAGTTTTAGTTTTGGCTGTGGGTGCAAACACTCTGACAATCTGTCCTGTTTTGGTGAAACACAGATGGAGTGTAAGTGGGTGAAATTGAGCAGCAAGCTAGGATTGTCTTGATTAGCTGGAACCTCATAGGAAAAATTAGTTTAAAAAAATATGATCTTAGAGTTTTAAATTAAAGGGAAGGTGTACATTACTTGATTGCTTTTTATTACAGTAAGCTGTTTGGTCAAGGCAGTTGTAATGACTAAATATTTGCACAGCTAACTGACTGTGAGCTGGACTGTAGTTGTATGCATATTGCTCCGATCGTGCCCCCCTCACACACACACCACAATGCCGCCTGTACTGTTTTTATTAACGCTGCTTGGAGCATTATGCCACCTCGGACGGCCCATGACAAGGGAGGAGAAGCACAGATTGAGGTGAGTTGGAGAAAAACGCTCAGATTGTATGAAAAGCATCCGAAAAAGCTGATTCGTGTTTATTCTGTGCTTTCCTCAAAGGAACCAAGTGGTCGAGATGTTTGACCATGCATATCAGAATTATATGGTAAGTGAAACCTTTGCAGAAACGAATCCTCTAAGAAATGAAAGTTGTCCTTTGTGCTGCTTTCTTGGTATTTAGAAAAATGGGCTGCTTATCGCTGCTCACATTATTTAGTGATGTGATGTTTTTACTGTCGATTACGGGGCCAATAATACACCTATATATAAGTTATATTTGATGTTAATTTGCATGTTTTTTCCCAGCTGACTTTTTGCAACTTCCTTCAAATTTGCATAACTCATATTTGGTCATTTTAAGATTACAGGGGTTTCATCAGACTGCCTCTTATGGAACAGATAAAAACAGAATGTGTATCTGTGTGTTTCCCAGGACCATGCATATCCAGCAGATGAGCTGATGCCGCTAACGTGCAGAGGACGAGTACGAGGACTTGAGCCCAGCCGAGGAGACATAGATGATGCACTTGGCAAGTGAGTATCAAGCTGCCTTTGTTCCTCCACATCTAACATAGTAATGGAGAAATCACAACGAAGATTATTTACACCCACATTATGACGCTGGCGTTGCCTGCACATGTCAGATTGCTTCATCTAAATAATAATAATTGCTACAGAAGCATCGTTATTTCAAATCATTTTAGCACATTCTGTTTGAGGCACAAGGCGAGGCGGCTTTGTCTATTGCACAGAGTTGGTTTGAGAGTTCTTATCATACACAAAGAACAGCGTTAGAACAACATTGAAACACAGACAGAATGAAATGAGACTTTAAATGATAAAAAATAAAGTAAAAGACAAGTAGTTAAGGATATCAGTCGATAAGAAATTCAGCTGTAGTGCAGTTACAGTGCTGTAGTGAGCTGTAACAACAACAGGAACTAACAGTGCAGCAGCAAAAATGGTAAATTAAAAACACAGGAGCACAAAAATATGTAGAATTTAGATTTAAAAGTGGGGCTGCAGGGTGGTGCAGTTGGTTAACACTGTTGCCTCACAGCAAGAAGGTCACCGGTTCGCGTCCCGGTGGAAGCACTGGGATCTTTCTGCGTGGAGTTTGCATGTTCTCCCCGTGCAGCGTGGGTTCTCTCCACCATGTTGAGGTTAATTGGTGATTGTAAATTGTCTGTAGGTGTGAATGTGAGTGTGCTTGGTTGTCTGTCTCTAAGTGTAGCCCTGTGATAGACTGGTGACCTGTCCAGGTGTACCTGCCTTCACCCTGAGTCAGCTGGGATAGACTCCAGCCCCCCATGACCCTAGTGAGGATGAAGCGGTGTATAGATGATGGATGGATGGATTATGAAAGTTGGGGTTATTTGAGATAATAAGAAAAATGGTTCCTTTTGTGTGCAGCTGTTTTGGATTGTACTCTAAATATAAAAGATCCGATCTGTTCTTTGAGTAGCTTAACTGCAGTGTAAACGATTGAAGCAGCAGTATTTTGCTCAGTCGTCTTGATTCTTGTTCGACAGCAGTGAGTCAAAGTCTTCCAAGAGTCTTTTTGGGAATACAGGCCGAGAGCTACAGACTGCCCATGAGATGAAGGCGTGACTAGAGTTTCTCCTCAACTTATTTGAACACAAGACTGATTCTTACTATTTGTCTGAGGTGGTGAATTGCTGATTTGGTCCCTGCCTTAATGGTGCTGCAGGAATCAATCTGAGCATTAACTTTTCATTCTTTTCTTTTCGTGCCAAATTGGAATTGTCAGTATGAATAATAATGTCGTAGCAACCAACATGTCTGGTAAACAGTTATTTTCTCTTTACTAGGTTTTCTCTCACCCTCATAGACACCCTGGATACTTTAGTGGTGAGTATCACTTCTGCCTATTTTTGACATTTAGTTGTCTTACAGTAACAATAAAATAGCATGAATGTATTATACACGCTGCACAAGTAAATGATCCACGATCTTCTGCATAATAATGACGTTTTATGACTGTGTGAGTCACTGATACTGTAGAATGTCAAGAAAAATCCCAGTGTTACTAGTTAAAAATGAACAAGGTCCTTTATTAAATATTCATGAGAGCATTTTTCTGAGTGTACTTTATTTCACTTTTAAACTGTGAAACTGCATATAATTGAGGCAGATATGTCACCGTTCCTCCCTGGCAGCTTTTAAACAAGACGACCGAGTTTGAGGCTGCGGTGAGGAGAGTCCTGTCCGACGTGAGGCTGGACAATGACATCGTTGTGTCGGTCTTCGAAACCAACATTCGAGTCCTTGGGTGAGATTGGATTGTCGACACGCAGTTACTGTTAAGCAATAAACTGCTCAGGCACTGTCACGCTTCAAGTACAACACTTTTACCGACAAGCAGTAAACAGAGCAGCTGAACTAGACAAAACACTTGATGGTTTAACGGTGTGTGTACTCAGTGGTCTGCTGGGAGGTCACTCCATGGCCGTGATGCTGAAGGAGGGAGGTCAACACATGCAGTGGTACCAGGACGAGCTCCTGCACATGGCCAAAGACCTGGGACTCCGACTGCTGCCCGCCTTCAACACCAGCAGCGGCCTGCCTTATCCCAGGGTGAGACAGACACACACAAGTAGACATGCATATTGTAAAGTGGTTTTGTAATTTCTTTTTTTTGGTGTGGGCAACTACATGCACATTTAATTTCCTTTTAATGGGTAGCACCGCATAAAAAAGCTGTTGTCATGATCGGAGGATAGTAACTGCTCCCATAGCTGTTGTAGCAGTTATTAAAAATAGGAGATTAGATAGATTTTATTGCTCCCTCACTGGGGAAATGTACATGTTGCAGCAACTACATGCAAAAGAGGCATAAAAGAAGTGAGACATGAAATACAAAAGTACAAAAAATATGAATAGAATAAAGATTGTCCACGCCTCCCACATATACAGACGAGGCGTGACGATTTACATATGGACATGTGTTGGTTGAAACTAGGGTCATATGTGATGTAATTCCAGGAATCAGTCCAAGCCTGTATGATGAAAAATGTCCAAACTTACCCTTTAGACAGAACACTTTTTTTCAAACCTAATCTATATTTAATACATTTAATCATATGCGTGATACAAAAGAAACATTTGAGCTTATTTACATGCTTCCACAATATATGAAGAACTGATATCTACATTGGCTCGGGGCATTTTCTCACATCACGACTACATATTTCCATTTTCTGCCTCGCTGCTCCGCTCGCAGCTGTCACAGCTTTCAGATGCAGACATTTTCGTGGCTGACTAGTCCCCATGCACAGGCTCTCCTGAACAAAATGTGACACTCGATTTTTTTTTTTTGTCCGATCGACAGGTGAACTTGAAATATGGCGTCAGGGGTCCCGAGACGAGGACGGGCACAGAAACGGACACCTGCACGGCCTGCGCGGGAACCATCATCCTGGAGTTTGCCGCCTTAAGTCGCTTCACCGGGGACCCTGTGTTTGAGGTGACACGTCGCTGTCGTATAATCACATCCTCTCATGACTCATTTAACGTTCTGTAAAGCGTTCCAGCTAAGACAGCATTGTATTTTTTGCCATAATTCTAAGCTATGATGTCATCTTTTAACTGAAATAAGGTAATACTTTTGACATCAGCTGATTCTGCAACACTTAAATGAGTCACTGCCACGTGTCTGCAGGTATACTGTGACGTTTCTGATGCTTGTTTTCTTCGCCACCGTCAAAGAGCCGCTGAGCGGTTTGAACGCCTTCAGATATTTGAACAGACACGTCAGCACTGAAAACCCACACAACAAGTAGCTCAGGTTTCCTTTGAGATCAAGTTGCAGATGCTTTATTTTGTGAAACCAGCCTGTTGTCTGATGATGTGTGCGCACTGTATCTGCCATGTATTCAGTGAAACCTGATTCAGTTTTTGCTTGTTTTACTTTTTAAAAACTTTACACTGCTCAAATCACGAACAGATGACGGATTAGGTGTACAGATGGCCGATAAATCAGACTTGATGGCCAAGTTTCCCAGCAGCATTCAAGTCTCGTGGACAAAGAGTTATAGATAATAGTCAGAGAAACCAGTTTTCACTTTTTGTGGCAAATCATTTAGTTGTCTCTCTATTGTGCGGTGCTGTAATAGTGTGTTGTTAGGTGAGATGCTGAGGTGATCGCTGCTCTTTGTCTGTTTACTCAAAAGCTACCCAGCTGGATTTAATGTAGCTTGGCTAAAAGATGGAGCATAGCCTGAGGAAGAATTCATGACATTGTGGTGCAGATCCTGCTAATCAGTCAACTTGTCGAGGATAAAAACATTACTTTTGGTGGAGAAAGTGGTCTCTGAGTGACCTACTAGTTACAACAGGTTTAAGCAGATGTCAAAATTGCTGCTTGTCATCATGTTTTTGTACACTGATGTCAACCTGGAATCATTGTGTTAAAATATAATGCCTTGCAGTTGTTTTTTTTTTTTGTTAGATCTGCATCCTAGTTTTCGGTCTTTGTTAGTTGAAGCAGCAGTTATTTCTGAGCTTGCTTGAAAATTTTGAGTTTAAAAGCAGCTTTTTTTCACAAAGCACAGGTGTTAGTCATAATGTAAACTGGGAATTTGTTCCATTTAAGTGAGACATCATGCACAGCACCAGGACCCTGACAATGAAGCGGTTAAATGGGATTCTGACATTCTTTATTCATCATGTATTTCTGTACTTTAGCTGCCTCAACATGTCAAAATGTGTTCTGTGCAAAAAGCCCCCTCATGGCAAAATAATGAAGTTTAAAATAAGCTCGACCAGGACATCATGTCTGCTTGTTGATCAGCCTGGCTCTTATGTAAAAATAAATGTGTTTTCGTAAAGTGGACATACCAAAGGATGGGGAAATTGTGTTAAGAAAAAGTTAGATTTAGATTTTTTTTTGCTTGAGCTGGGACTGGTTCATTTCCTGGCAGCAGCAGACTGCTGAACAAGCACTGAGTCAATCACTGTAATCATTCAAACAGTGGAGAGCTACTGCAGATTGATTTTTACTTTGTTAATCAATACTGCACCCTTCCTCGCACACACAGGCCCATGCCCGGAGAGCTCTGGATTTTCTGTGGGAGAAGAGGCAGAGGAACAGCAATCTGGTGGGAACCACTATCAACATCCACTCTGGGGAGTGGGTCCGAAGAGGTGAGAGGGAGGAGTCCCTGGTGGGGTATTGCTGTGACTGAGTGACAGAACAGAGCAGATTAAGAGATGAAACTGGGGAAGTGTCTGTTAAAGAAAGAACAACATGGGTGAAGAAACTGTGAGTATAGGAGTACGAGCTTTGTGTTTGGGCGGGAGGGGCGTTTGTTTGTACAGCGGCGGCATGAGTGCGAACAGAACACTTGTTTGTCCTCTGATTTTTGCCGTCTTATGAAGTGATGGATTATTGTGTTTGTTTCCAGACAGTGGAGTAGGAGCAGGAATTGACTCGTACTATGAATACCTGCTAAAGGCCTACATCCTCTTGGGAGACGACCTCTTTCTGCAGCGATTCAATATTGTGAGGACACACACATGCACACATGCACGCACATTTGCCAGAGTAATTTGATGCCTCTCTGTGTGCATAATAGCATTTGTCACAACAGCGTCTACTGCATAAAGCAGCAATACACCAGCACATATTTGTGGATTGTGCACTTCAGTTCAGCTCTTCACTGAAGAGGCAGATGTTAATGTAGTGTTTTTCTTAGCTAAATACTTTTTCTCAACATGTTTTAAAGGCCCAAGCTTCTTCACATGAGAGAGATAAGATTGTACATGAACATATTTTATGGAGATGTCAAGATTGCTTTGACTGAAAAAATGCAGTTTTGGTTGTTTTGTCCAGTCAGGTCAGACAATCTCTGTATTTTCCAGTGTTAATATCATAGGAAATAACACAGAAATTAGTTTTTTTCTTTGTCGTGAGTGTTTATTATTATAAAAAAATTACTCCTGGAGGTTTGAAGGCAAGTTTTCAGGGGCTTTTTTTAAAAATTTTTTTTTAACATCTTCACACTCATTTAATTCACAGCGTGTCTAACACTGCTTGTTCCATTTTTCCTACCCTTACCTTAAGAATGTCATATCCTCAATATGTCCGTTTTATATGCCCCATTTAGCACTATGCATCCATAATGAAGTACATTAGCCAGCCCCCTCTGTTGCTCGACGTCCACATCCACAAACCTCTGCTCCCCGCTCGCACCTGGATGGACTCTCTGCTGGCCTTTTTCCCCGGACTGCAGGTTAGATTAGATGATGCCAATTGAAGCATTTACTATCTTTACAGACACTTTTGCCATTTCGAATAATCTTGTACATAACGTGTTCGTGCAGGTGTTGAAGGGAGACATCCGTCCTGCCATCGAGACTCATGAGATGTTGTACCAAGTGACCAAAAAACACAACTTCCTCCCAGAGGTAATCTGCCTCACAACAAAAAAATAAAAAATGACTCAGCACCATTTGACCATAGAGTTAAATAACCGCATATGGCTTGTGTTGCCAACCAGAACTGTTTGTAAATGAACACACTTGTATTTCATGCAACACAGCTGCATTTTAACTTCATCTCCCTAGCAACACTTGGGGCGGGTGTGCTGACCCCTTTGTCCTTCTCTGTCCTTCCCCAGGCCTTCACTACTGATTTCAGGGTACACTGGGCCCAACATCCCCTGAGGCCTGAGTTTGCAGAGAGCACCTATTTCCTTTACAAGGTAATTTATCAAGTAGTCTGACATAATGCACGCAATCTCTTTTCACCGCCACAGTGTCGAGGTAAGTGTCTGCTATCATGCAGCAGTATAAGCTCAATATTTTTAACTTGCAGTTTGTGATTTTTGACTAAAAAAAAGTGCACCAGAATCTCTTACAAACACTGTCTTCATTTCTGCAGTAATTAAGCAGCCTCCAGCATGAGTGTTTGTAATTTGTTAAAACCTTTGAAGGAGCATCATCTCTCATGTTTGACCTGACCTCAGCCAAGCTTTTGTTCCCAGTTCATGTGCTGTACTTTTGTCAGGATAACACTTTTGTTCTCTCGTTCTCCCAGGCCACAGGGGACCCTTACTACCTGGAGGCAGGTCGCACCATCCTGGACAACCTCAATCGCTTTGCTCGTGTTCCCTGTGGCTTCGCTGCGATGAAGGACGTACGCACAGGAAGCCATGAAGACCGGTCCGTAGATAAAGACTCTGGATTATTTGGAGTGTTTAGACATGCTTTACATAGCAGTAGATTTAAGATAATGGTGTGATATGAAACACAGCAAAGACTTCTAACTAGTCTGATAGTTATATGTTGACATTCAAGGGTGAAATAGGAGGTAATAATCCCATATGACATGCGTATACTGTTTAACGCAGGGATTATTAAAATCTAGCTGTTTAAAGAATTATCACAAAACTGCAAACTGACATTTTAGAGTTGCTAGTAAAGATGACATGGCAGGAATGTTAAAAGGTGAACAGCGTTAAGTGAATTCATTGTCAAGTATGGAGTGGAGTGGTGTGTAGTAAAGCTGAGTCCTTAATGCAGCGCCTCAGGCTCAGTTCCAGCCTGAGGCTTTTGCTGCATGTCATCCTCTCTCTCCCTCTCCCCCTGCAGCTTTCCTGCCTCTCTTCAGCTGTCCCCAAGTAGAGGCAAAAATACTTAAAAAGAAAGAAATACATAGCCTACACCAGGGCTGTGTTCAAAATTGCATACTTTTTTACACTAAGTACGAACTACAGCTGCCCTCACAAAGTACGTGGTGTCTCATGCAGTATGCATACGATGTGGACACACCACTTCATCATAGTGATGCGCTCTAAACTTTGACCATTGCAGTCTGCAGTGTGAAATGAGCTGTCATCTGTCTCTGCGGCTCTCGCATACGACTCAGTGATGTACGCGATGTAGCTGCGCAGAGGATTTTGGGTCAGATTGGCCATAAAAGCGTGCATACTTCAAAGTCCGACCTGATTAAGCGGAACATTTTTGGCGTGCTACATCTGACACAGTCCGTATTGGAACACAGTGAATCTTTTTCTCACATACTATATAGAATGGTCGTATGGATTTTAAAAGCAGTCCAGTGTACAAAAAAGTGTCCCACATTTTTACACATCTTGTCTTTTTTTTCCCAGAATGGACTCTTTCTTCCTGGCTGAGATGTTTAAATACCTGTTCCTGCTGTTTGCTGAGGCGGACGACCTACCGTTCGACGTGGAGGACTACGTCTTCACAACTGAGGCTCACCTGCTGCCCCTGTCCCTCTCCACAGCCCCTCACTCCTCATCCATTCCCTCAAACAGAACGGTAATGATACGATTTCACTACAACTAAAAGTCACCAATGTGTTTGATTTACTCAAACCTGTCGTTTCTCCTGATACCTCAGTCGGAGGAGGAGCTGGACGACTCTAACTTCGATTGGACGTGTCCCAACACTCGCCTGCTGTTTCCTGACCCCGCCTTCCCTCGGAACTTGAGAGAACCGATCCGAAGTGCCGTAGACAAGAGCTGCCCACGTCCTGCCCCTTACAGGTATGTACACATAGTATGTATATATAGACTTTGCTGGTTATATATTCTCAGTATTTGCTGTATCCCATGTGATTTTAATTCCTTGCTTTTCTTCTCCTCTGCCTTCTTTCAGGGAACCTGGTATGGGCCGTCCTCCCCTGAGGGCTCAGGACTTCATGGCAAACAACCCTGAACATCTGGAGCTGCTGAGGAGGATGGGAGTCAGTCTCATCCACCTGAAAGACGGCAGGGTGCAGCTGGTCCAGCATGCTACTCAGGTAAACAATTCAGCAGCAAGGATGCACAACCAAGTAGAGGATTGTGATTGAAAAACACAGAATCCAGTGCTGAGGTAGCTCACTTTCTTGATAGTGTGCTACTTTTGGTATAACAAGGTAGCGTTTGATGCAGCACATTACTTTTTACTAGCAGTCATTACAAAGCAATCTCTTACACGTAATGATACCTCTAGAACTAATGTGGACAAACTGCCTTTTAAAATGGAGGGTATTTATTTTTCAGTGTGCAGCAAATGTCTTCAGAACACAGCTTGTGCATCTCTGCTATTTTTTACATGTAAAACAAGCATAACAACATGGTGGTGCTGATGGTGCCTTCATTTTGGCAAACTGGCTTCTATATTTTTATCCCAACAATATGTTCTTTTTGGTTTCTTTCCACTTTCATTTAAAATGCTCTCTCCCACTCTGTTACACCTACACCTAGGCGGTGAGTGCAGTAGCAGCAGAGGATGGCGTTCGTTTCATGCAGGAGATGATGGAGCTGTCGAGCCAGCAGCAGAAAGAGCAGCTGCCTCCCAGAGCCATTCAGATCGTCTCGCATCCATTCTTTGGCAGGGTGGTGCTGACCGCCGGCCCAGCACAGTTTGGCACAGACCTGTCCAAAAGTTCCACAGGGGTGAGTGGGTTTTGTAGCTTTGCCAAGCTTCCAGGTTAGAAATGGGCACTTCACTGTGCTCCTGTTTGTTTTTCCTGAGAGAGACACTCAGTTTTGCCTTGTGTTTTTGAGAGGGCACTTCCTCTCCAGGAACATTTTCTGAAGGACAGATGGAAATACGAGTGCTCGGTTTAACGCGGAACATCTGGGCTGAGACAGCAGTGCTGTACAACATAAAATTAGTGTGTTCCTTCACTTTTTCCTCCTGTGCACAGGTACGAGGCTTTGTCACCGTGGCCGAACCCTACAGCGGCTGTACCGAAATCACCAATGCGGAATACATCCAGGGTCACATTGCTCTGCTCCAAAGGGGTCAGTGTATGTTTGCAGAAAAAGCCCGACACATCCAGAAAGCTGGCGCCATTGGAGGCATAGTTATCGGTGAGTTCATGCAGCAAGACGGAAGATGACTACTCAGTGACAAGATTAGTATTTGATAACTGGATTATCTTGAAGACAGCAAGTCCAGTGTGGTCCTGCCCACTATATTATTGTGTTACAATTAAGCAGAACTTCCATCCATCCATTATCTATACACCGCTTAATCCTCACTAGGGTTGTGGGGGGTTGGAGTCTATCCCATTTGACTTAGGGTGAAGGCAGGGGACACCCTGGACAGGTCACCAGTCTATCACAGGGCTACACTTAGAGACAGACAACCAAGCACACTCACATTCACACCTACGGACAATTTAGAATCACCAATTACCCTCAACATGTTTTTGGACTGTGTGGGAGGAAGCCAGAGAACCCGTAGAGAACCCACGCTGCACGGGGAGAACATGCAAATTCCACGCAGAAAGATCCTGGGTGTCCTCACTGGGACGTGAACCAGCAACCTTCTGGCTGCTAGGCAACAGTGCTAACCACTGCTCCACTGAAGCAGAACTTTTGTGAGATTAATAATAATAAATCATAGTTACATGTGTTGCTTGTGTCATTAAAGTTACAGATTCCTGTGCAGTACATGCTAGCGTAGACAATAAATTCTCCAATTATCTTTCTATTTCATTATTTTTCTGTATTTGTTTAAAATGCTAATTCCCAGCTCCATTTCTAAAGAACTGTCCACAACCAAAAAGATATTTGTTTCACTCTAGTAAACAAAACGCTAATGAAATAACAAGAATTACCTCTTTGCCCTCCGTCAGACAGTTTAGTTGCAGTTTACGTCCACGTCGGTCCATGTTGACCTCTGAGACACAACATGTCACTACTTGATCGTTTCATCCTATTGGACACACACATTTTGTCATAATTAGTGCATACGTTTTTGAATTACTGTGTGTTTCGTGAGGTCACAGTGACCTTTGACCACCGAAATCTAATTAGTCCATCCTTGAGCCCAAGTGGATGTTTGTGCCACATGTAATGAAATTCCCTCGAGACATTCCCTGATTTGTTGTGCTCCCAAGAAGGAGATGGACGTGAGGTCACATCACCTTTGACCCTTTGACCAGCAAAATTAAATCAGTGCATCCTTCTGCCTGAGTCAACTTTGTGCCTAATTTGAAGAAATTCTCTCCAGGGGTTCAAGAGATGGACAGAAAAGGGACGGACGGAAGGATAATCGGAAAACATAATGCCGACATGGAGGCATAAAAGCAATAATCTGAAAACAGAAGTGACTACAGTTCATCTTCTTTTGCTCCCTTCCAGATGATAACGAGGGCAGCAGCAGCGACACGGCTCCCCTGTTTCAGATGGCCGGCGACGGACGCAGCACGGATGACATCACCTTGCCGCTCCTCTTTTTGTTCCACAAGGAGGGCAACATCCTACTGGAGGCGCTGAAGGAGTACAGAGAGGTGGAGGTGCTGCTGAGCGACAAAGCCAGAGACAGAGGTGCGACATTAACCCCTCACAACGCCCACCTCCCTCTTCTTTGTTTCACTTATCTCCCTTCATGAGATTGATCACATCGCTGTACTTATATCTCTCCGCTGACTGAGCCTCATTACATGCTCGGCTCCATAAAATAAAGATGAGGTGTAGGGATTCAGGCACTATTTGAAGTCTCAGAGCTTGTGACTCATTCCGAAACCACCCACCAGCTGTGGGTATAATGGGGCATGGCGGAGGTTTACAGCCTTATCAATATTGCATCCTCATTCTTTTTCCTCTTTTTCCTCATTAGCCAAATCCCTCTATTCCCTGTAACGGTACCTTTCTCTCCTCTCTTTCTTGGTTTCTCTCCTTTTTTTTTTTTCTTTTTCCTCCATAACCCTCTCCCCTTTGGATGAGCAGCAGCCATATTCAAAGGTAAACCTCTTCCTGGAAGCCTGATTGAGGGCAGTAAGTACGCTCTTCTTTTCCTTCTTTCTTCGTCTGTTATGCCCACGTTTTTCATCCTTTTCCTCGCCTTAATCCCTGTTTCCCCTCCTTATGGTAATGCTCGTATCTCTCCATCCCTCTCTCTCTCTCTCTCTCTCTCTCTCTCTCGCACTCTGCCTTCTAACCACTGAATTCTGTTGGAGTTTGATAGAAAAGCTTAGTGCAGTCACAGGATTGTGTCATTTGCTATTTCCCCCCCCAAAAAAGCTCGAGGCATGATAGCTTTTTAGGTCGTTTGTCACTGTGGCAAGGCTAGACAGTGTAGCAGGACTAGATCACAGCCGGGAAGTTACATGGGTTCTTGGAAAAAAGTTCCACTTGTAATTTATATTTTGCTCTGTCTAGATTTTGAGTGAACAGCAGCGATTGCAAGTTTTCTTAACTAATGCGAAGAAGCCGAGACAGTGACACTTGCTATGAGACATGAGCGGGCTGTAGGTGCAGGACAGCTGCATAACAGCTGCTAGAAATCAAAGCATCTGCTTTTCCCTCTTTTCGCTGAAACACACACTGGAGCACAGATCCATTGATTAATACCCAGTTTGTTTAACCACAAAACCGCCATGACACCAGACAGACCAGACAGTCAGTGCCCATCTCTACCTGAACTGTGCAAACCTTGATGTTACAGGTTGCTGTTCTCATCACAGCAATTCTGGATGCTTCCTCTCAGCTGGATAACAACACATTTACAGTCCACACTTCAAAGAAGCAGCAGCTGTATTTTTAGAAACAATAACAGATCAAACGCAAAACGTCTTCCCAGATTTGTGCAAAATTCACAGTTTTGCCAAATTCCTTTTTCTCAGTTGACTCTCAATTTGGTTGTGCAGCTATGTGAGAGAGGTTTTATCCTGAGGGAAACATGACTCACGATCAGCATCATGCTGTTAGAGTTAACAGCCTCTCGATGAAAACGGTTCTATTTTTGACCAAGGATGGGTTGCCAGGAGGCATGTATGGATTAGTGCATGTGTCCCTTGTACATGTTTTTGTGTAGCGCCGTTCTCACGCCCCGACTTCCTTTTCAGGTGTGGATGTGCAAGAAGCAGAGGAGGACTGCTTGACCGAGGCAACAACGCCGACCTCATTCGAACCAGTCACCCAATCACAAATGAGCACGGTGGAGCTAGATGAATCTGCCGCTGAGGAAGTCACTCCTGCAGAGGAAGAAGTCAGTCCTGTGGATGAAGACACTAGTCCTGCAGAGGACGTTAGCCCACTAAAAGAAGAAGTTAGTCCCACAGAGGCTGAGGCTGATTCAGCTCAGCTTAAAGAGGACAGAGACTCAGAGAAGAGAGAGGAGCCCGAGGCCGACACAGACTCAGGCAGCCAGTCGGTGGATGAGCTGCTGGCTGATTGGCGGGAAGACTTGGAGGCGTTCCAGCAGATGGAGAAGGATGAGCTCTGACAGTAGTCAGGCACCTCGTGCCCTGTGACTGGTTTGATCCCGCCGTGAGGAGAGACCTGGAGGGAGGGACTCTTCACGTCGCCAGCCTCAGTCTGATGGACTCAAAGGAAGCTGGGAAGATGTCTCTCGTAACAGTTTCTTCTCTTGCCCTCTGTGAATGGTACCATGTGCCAAGGCAGCCCGCATACTGTATCTCTGGACCACAAAGGAGTCCTGTTTAGGTAGATGATGGGTGAGAGACCAGGGTTCTTACCTCATGTTCTCATACATTTTTCTGTTTATGTGTCATAACAAACTCTAATGAATGACATGGACCAGACTGTCTGTAACTGCATCTCACTTTTCTGTCCAAATTACTTCTCAAACTGTTCTCTCTATGCATTTCTGACTACTTTTACTCAATCGAATGCTGGTTCAACAGCTACTTTCTCACCAGTTAATCCATCGACCAATTCACTTTGTTTAAATGTGATGATTGTTTGTGATGATACTGTTTTGCTGGTCTTGGGCCTAATCACATGTACACATTGATGAGAATTAAGGACTTCATTACAGGAGGCGATTGGTGATGAATAATGCTGCAGGATCTTTTTATGGCTTTATGGCAGACAAACCCAACACCAAACGGAATCTCTCTGGAGGATATATGAAGTCGTGTGTCGATGTAAATATGTATTTGTCAAGATATATTGACTCAAATAATATAGCGCTGTTCGCTCAGGTTCTGGTTCTCCCCCCCACAAAAAAAAAAAAAAAAAAACAGCCTCTGGACCACAGAGGGTGGAGCAGACACACCCTCAGCAGTGATGGGGTGGATCACACACCCACGGGCCGCCACAGGAGGGCGCTGTGTATGACCTGTCTGCTGGAGCTGCTGACTGGCTGAAAGAAGCAGAAATAAGCCAATAAATTGAAAGAATGAAATTAAATAAAAATTTAGAGGGAAAACTGGGAATGTTGCCTCGATTCTTTGAGTTTAATTTAAATGTTGCAAAAATGGATGTAAAATGTAAGAAAAGGTGTAAATGCGGCAGATTTACACGTGGATATTTAGGCGTTGGTTGAATCCAGCTTAAGTTTCCTGTTGTTCTGTAGGCCTTCAGTGTAAAAACCATTTTGTTCTGATAAAACAAACAAACAAAAAAAACACTCATAGATTATTCAGCACATGTCATGTCTGTGAATCTCTCAAGGAAATGCTAAACACATGTTGACTCCTCCGAACAAAAGCGAAATATTTGAGTGGAAGGCGAAGATTTTGAAATCGCTTCTTTTCCGACAGACATTTCTAAAAAAGCTGTGGGCGGACACCCACATCAAATCACTGGAGTCGAGATGACAGATCTGTAATTGGGAAATTCTCAGCATGCACCCTAGCATTAGTGTCAAAGTGATTAAAGCAGCGGTTAAAGAATATCTAGTGGAAATATGCTCTTGCAAATAAAAGTCTTGTATTTGCTTGTTACTTAAGAAAAAAGTTCAAAAGATTTTCAGCAGAACTTGTCATTGGGCAGAATAGAAACATGTAAGGAGCGTTTTAGTTACAGCTATTAGAGGTGGAACTAACTTTACTACACTTGATTCTGTTGAGTTCATCAATCTTAACCTGCAAGTTAACAGTGAACACAGATATGAGATAAATGTGGATTATAAATACACTCTGAAAAGTAATTAAGCTACATCTACCAGTTGATCAAATGCATGATCTCAAGAAAAATAATTTAATTTACCGGTTCAGAATAACCTTTTTAAGTTACAAACATTATTTTGAAGGATTCATGTTGCATCAACTTAATATTTTGTTCAATTTGAACTCAAAATTTCTGCGTTCAAGCTAAATTCAAACTGAGGAAACTTAATGAAATTTGCTTGAATTTTTCTTCATCTTGAGCTCAGGGTTTAAAGTCAGTCCTCTCTCCTGCCTACTAAAGATGCCTAAACTATTAAAGACAGTCAAGACTGCTAAATAAAATACCTTTGATTGTAGAGGAGAATCTGTTTCTTCTAACTTTGGTGAACATAATTTCCTTCGATGTCATATCTCAAAAATTATGTATGAAGTAGCATAAAATTTAACCTAAATACAAGTAATGGTTCTGAGTATATGAGTAAATGTACATCCTTAAGTGGTTGGTTATTTATTCATTTTTAAAGTGACATTAAAAGTGAGTTTGATGAACAAATGGGATGAGGAACCTCCATCGGCAGGATGTGTCAAAGTTAGTAAAGCAAAAAGGGAAAATATATTTTTAAAAAAAGGGAGAAATGATAAAAGATGTGAAAAATGTGAATCGAATTTCAGAAAGTAATGAAATATATAAATAAAAGGAAAGCTGAATAATTAAAATCATTCCTGCTATCTTGTAAATGAAGCTATGATCAAAAATGCAAAAAGGGTTGCCAGGGCTTTTAGCTGAACCTACTTTTCCCCGGATTGCCTTTTTAAAAAAAAGTTTTTTCCTGTGAATTATTAAAAAACAGAAAACACATCCAGGCTGCCGAAGCTGGTTTCTATTATCTATATCACCAGACATTAAACTGATGCAGCTTTGCTTCTGAAATTATGATATATGGCATGGTTTTGATGCTCGGAGTTGATGACAGATAAAAAAAGAACAAATATAAGATTTCGGCTTTAGATTGTGACACCAGGAATGGATGTAAAGTTGAATTTGGGTGTAGTTCTTGTCAGAATTAAAATGTGTTTTTCACATCTGATTTATAAACTTAGGAAGGCTCAGAAATGCAGCAGATGAAGGGCTTCATGGGGCTGGTGCTGAAACTAACAGGACATCTTACCCAAAATGCACTTTTTTGAAGTTTTCTCCAGTGAATTATCAGAAAACAGAAAATATATCCAGGGTACCGCAGCTTGTTTCTATTACTCCATATGACAGACATTAAAACGGTGCAGTTTTGCTCTTGAGACTATAATACATCCCATGATTCTGATGGTCTACGTTGGTTATAAAAAAAATAATGTGCTGAACAATAATGAGTTTTTGCTTTCGATTGTGACACCTGGAGTGGATGTACAACTGATTTGAAGCTCTGATGTGTTTGAATGATTTTCCAGAGTTTGTGTGTCAATCTTCTGTAGTTGAAACCAGAAGTTTACACACACTGTATAAAAAGACACATAACCTTTAATTTTTCTCACTATCTGACATTAAATGTGACTAAATTTGCCCCAACTAACTCAGATATTTACATCAAAAGCTTCTAAAGCCATGACATCATCATCTGGGCTTTTCCAAACAGTTTGAAGCCACAGTAATCTTCATGTATGTAAATGTCTGACTTTGAAGAAAAAAATCTCTAAAGAATTCTCTCTCTCATTATTCTGGCATTTAGCAAATAGAAATAATTTTGGCAATCCTGACTGACGTAACACAGGAAAAGTTTAGTCTGATTTAATGTCAGACAGTGAGGAAAAAATAGGTTTTGTGTCTTTTTATACAGTGTATGTAGACTTCTGGTTCCAACTGTATGAAGGCTCGTAATGTAAGGACCACAGGCTTCAAGGGCCTGTAACTAAAACTAACTTAGTTTTTTTGTTGTTGCAAGTTTTCTCTGATGAATGAAGATATTGTGCATTTACTGGTGCATTTTTTCCTATTACACCTACGATATATATTCCATGAAAATGACACTCAAAGTTGATCATAAAAAAAAAGAGAGAGAGATTTGGGCTTTAGATTGTGACACTTGGAGTGGATCTAGAACTGATCTGAAGCTCTAATGTGTTTTTATGTTCTGATTTTTCAGAGTTTATGTGTCAGTCCTCTTTACTTATTACTTATAAAGGCGCATAATGTGAGGGCCAAGGGCTTCAAGGGCCTGGAACTGAAACTAAGTGAAAAAGTTCACTCAAAATGTACTTTTTTTTAACAGATCACAGACTGGGTGCATTTTTTTTCTACTAAAACTATGACATATCCCATGAAAATGATGCTCCAAGTTAGTCATGGAATTTATTTTTATTTTTTTGGCTTTAGGTTGTGATACATGGAGTGAATATAAAATTTAATTGGAATTAAAAAAATAAAGCAAGAACATTTTATTTAATTTAAAAAGCCACCCACCCCTCTGGACTTAAAGGGCCTATAATTAAAAATAATTATGGTAAAATTTTACATGGCATTAATTAAACATCCTGAAGTTAATGTGCCAAAAATCCTCCAGCTGATTGCGAGGGGGGGTCAGGTGGGAGGTTTTTCCCCACATTTGGCTCCTTTTTAAAACCAAGTGACCCCCACGCACTAGATGTTCCTCCGGGTGGCTCCCTGTCACTGCTGGCTCCTGGTTAAGCCGCCGGTGATTGGTGGGTCTGCTGTGGGGCTCCGCTCCTCAGCAAGATGGCTGCATTGCTGCGCGCAAATAGTGGCATCCTGGTGAAATGACGCAAGCCACAGTTTACGCTCCGTCCTCGCCGCTCTGCGCTCTCCAGTCTCCATAGCGCAGATCCCGCCCGACACACACGGAAGAAGACCGAGCGAGGGGCGATCCTCCGGTGGACCGAGCCGCACCGGTTCCTCTGAGTAAGTACCCAGACGCCACATTGAATCTCCTAACCGTGTCCCAGAGGTGCCGTTTTGACCACCGGCGGAAAAGCTGCTCGTAAGGACGCAGCTTGTGTCTTTTTGGTGACTCTTTTGTTGTTGTTGTTTCCTGAGTGTGCACCGTGATTCCCCGGCGCTCTTTGCTTCCTGCACACCGGAGCTTTTTCGCATCTGTCCGTGTTTTGGTGAAGCTCCGCAGCGGTGCAACACACAAGAGAAAAAACGCGGCTTTATCTCACCGTTTGAGCCGGAATGAGCTTGGACATGCGTTGGCTCAGCGGCGCATTTTCAAATTTTCCACACATCCTGGTTGCTTGTGCCACCCTGTCCCGCTGCTGCTGCTGCTCTATGTAAAAGGCCGATTTGGGTTTTTTTCTTTGGAGGAACACTCAAACAGAAGAGGAGGTTGAGGACCAGGGGGGGAGCTGACCGAGACTACAGGCCGGTCACCTTTTTTTTTTTCTTTTTTCGTTTTTTTGTGGAACTATGTTGCTCCACGGCTCCTGGAGGAGGAAACAAAGCGCCTAGTGTCTCCTTGTGAGCGCAGCTGGACACAGCTGTTGGGCTTTCAGGAGCTCCGTGGCCGGACCAGGAGCTGCCACTGCTGCACAGCTTCACCCCCCCCACCACCATCATCATCCTTGGAGAAGTTGTAGTGCAGCCTGGGTGCTCTACAACTTCTCTATTGTGGTGGCAGAAGCTGCTGCCCTCAGTAGTCTGTCTGCTGCACAGCCTGGGTGTCTACAACTTCCCTACTGCCTCAGTAGTCTCTCTGGCATGTACTTAAGGAAATGCACATTGCCTTTTGTTCCTCATTACTGCTGTCGCATGTGTCTGAGGCTAGACATGGGAGTCACAGCAGCCTGAATTAGATTTGATATACTGGCGGCTCATTTGCAGCTCATTTGCAGCCCTGAGCTCGTTTCAAATGCACTTCCCCAGACACTATTATACAGACAGGGGAGTTTAAGTTCCCCCTTTGCTTGAATGGAAAGTGTTTGTGATTAGCTGCTGTGGATTTTCCTCTTACATCCATTCTGGTGTGATGTAGGTTCCAGCAGCATCCTGTCACCAGCAGCTTATGTTATATAGGTTACAACCAGCAATCTCGTGAGTGGACGTCCCCTCCTTCCCCCTCCCTCGCTTTATTTTTTGATTTATCTGTTTGTCTTCATCTATCTGCCTCCATCTGTCTTTCTCTCTCCCACCCCAGCCTCCCTCCCTCACTCACTCACTCACGCACTCGCACAGTGTGTTGCTCACATATGGCTTTTGGTTCCGGTGGCGAGCGAGAAGGAATAAAAAGCTCCCTTCTCTTTCTCTTTCTCCTCTCTCTCTCCTTCTCTCTTGTCTCTTTTCTCGGAGGCAGGAGGTTCTATTCTTAGTCCTCTCCTCCATCATCATCATCATCCTCATCATCATCCAGCCCGTCCACCTGTGGCCTCTTCACCTCTTCAGCTTTTGGTTTGGGTGAGCATTTTTTTTTTCCTTCCCGAATGTGGAGGGGTGAGGGTTGTCATCATCGTGCATCACCTGTGATGTCACCGTGTGAAAGGAGGTGGATGGGGTTGCCATGGTTACCAGGATGTCTACCCCTTCCGTCTGTGTGTGGGGGCGTAAGGGAGAGGGAGTTCCCACGACTGTCTCTCCCCCCCCGGCCGCATCCAGTTTTGCTCCATCAGGTGCGATGAGGCCGGTCTGTATTGCGGTGCATTAAAAAAAAAAAAAAAAAAAGCACAAGGCCAGCACAACACGATCCCTCTCAGGGATGTGACTGAGGGCACCGGCCGGTTCGATCGGTTCGCCCGCCCCACTTGAATAGTCAAAATGTTGCAGCCTGAGAAAGTGCACTCGTGTCACTACTTTCTGCTTCGGCATTCGAGCTCCGTGTGTTTATGTGTGCACAACTGTGGTGGACGTGCAGATCGGTGGGGATGTGTGCTGGTTTTTTTGGTCTGTCTTGTGTCTGTTCTGCCTTTTGAGTCAGCAGGGATTGGCTGTGAAGCTTTTTTTTTTCCTCTGCTTGTGTCTGTCACATGATGAAGCAGCGTCCCCCAACTGTTTACAGTGCTCAGAGTTCAGTCAGGATGGGACAAAGAGACAGAGTGCAGTATTGATTTCACCTTCCTTTCCCCCCACCCCTCCTCTTTTTTCTTATCACTTATTCCTATTCTGACTGACAGAATGCATCTGTTTCCCATCTGCTCTGTAGATAAAGTTGGTTTCTGCTGGAACCTCTGCAGGCCTCCATCGTGACAACAGTGTCAGGCTGATGTGAGAGAAGAAGCTTCAGGTGATAGTGAGAACATGATAGCTGAATCTGCACCTGAGATCTTTGAAACTCAAATGTGGGTTCGGTGACGTCTCGACACATCCCTGGTTCCCATGCCGGTTTTATTCCCCTGATACTATGTGCAAACACTCCAGGAACTCACGTGGCGGGACGTTTAGATGGATTGCTTTACGTGTAGCATTTGATGGAATCAGTCTTTAGCTCCGTCATAAAACATAACGTGACATTGCAGGAATTATAGTCGCATGATTAGCGGTTATTAGACGCATAAAGTAAACAAAACAAACGCTGTGGGTATAGCAGCAACGGAACAACAAGCGGCACTGTCGTCTGCGGGCTGAGCAATAACTCAGTTTTAGCATTTATTGACTTCTGGCCGAGTCGTATAATGATCAGATGATAACTTCTAGAGCTGCAGTGAACAATTATTTCCATTAATGTTTCATCCGTTGATTATTTATTTGATAGATCATGTTTTAAATGCCACAAAGTAGTAAAAGGGACTTGTTCCCAGAACCTGAAGTGATGTAATCAAATGACTTATTTTAGCCAAATAATACAGGAGATTAATTTTAACATTCAACATGACCAGAAAACGTCATCAAATTGTCCATTTGAAGCAGGAAGCAGCACCTGTTTTAGATTTTTGCTAGAAATGTTTATCTAGAATCTGATTGGCTCACCAAATAATGTGCTTGTAATCCTTTTAGTGTTGTATTTCTTTCTTTTGTAGCAGATTATTGCACATTTTTCAAGTTTTTAAACCAACAAAATTGCTTTTTTTTACATCCAGGAGGAGTTTGCTCTGGTGATGCAGAGTAGTGTCCATCTCACTTAGTTCTATTACAGTTCTTCTCAGTCGCTTTGGTACATTTTTCGAATCATCCTCGACATTTGCAAAACATTAAGTGTATTTCTCAGAACAATTCGTACGAATAGCGAAACACCATGGAATACCTGCAAAAGGCAGTTACTCGCTCAAAATCCTCAGTTTGTCTCTCCAAGTAAATATCTGTCAATGAACATGTCAGTGGCATCAGAATGACGAGTCCTTGTGTCAGTGTGTACAGATAAGACAGTCATATTGTTTAGTCATGTTGTCAGTATAACAGTGCACTCTGGAGGGATGTTCTGATGTAAACTATGGCTAAAGTTCTGATGACAGTTACTGTAAACTGTGAGTTACACCTTAGTGTATGTGCGAGAGACTGGATAAGATTCGCATTTACGCTTTTACTGTTTGTACTGTAACTTGTGACAGACCATGTCGTTGTGGTACAGAAAGGAAAAGACAGCACTGCATAGCACAGAGACAAAAACCAAAGTAGAAATGTAAACAGAGGACAGTCTCCTTTGGGAAAACTGTACATGCAGTGTTGTAGGAGTTACAGTGCAGTCTTACTATACACTTACTTCCTTGATGCACCTTTGAGCTACTTCAGAAAACTGGTTGATCATTGGTTGATCTATGTGATGCTACACACATTTCCCTTCATTAGAGAAAGTCAAGATTCACCTTGGAGCACTTTACCAATTCAGGACAGATGTAAGTCTAATAGAAATATGCTTGACATATTATGACAACTTGTTCAACCATTTTGCATGTAAAGACTTGTGCGATGAGCCTAAATGTTGTGGGAGGTGAGACTATTCAACAGAGACCCACTGTAATGCATTCTGATCTACATGACATGAGCAGCTGATGATGTAGGAAACAGCAGAGAGTTGTACATAATCATTTGCATGGATGTACCAGAGCTTTTAGAACTTGTTCAGAGAAACGAGAAAGTACTTTGTTGATGTGACACAATGATGTGAAGACTGAACAAGTAGTTTTGAGAATTTCAGTTCTGATCTGAGAAATGCACCAAAAACTGTGATATCATGAAATTAATACTTGGACAGCACCTTGGTCACAGAACGGATGCCGTATATTTACTATACAGACAGTCAGTGATCACAAAAAGAGATGCATATGGGTCTTTCGCCATAGCATTACACTTATTTCCAATATTTGAGTTTTCTGTGAATGGTTTCAGCTGTAACAGTGTCGACTCTTCTCCCACTTCTGAACTGCAATAAGCTCATGAAAGGTTTGCTGCGTGTGTCTCTGCACCGGATGGATAATGGATGAGGGGGGAAAAAAAAAAAGCAGTGGTTTTGCATCTGAAAGAATAACATTGTGAACATCACACCACGTCGAGATGTTGAACACGGGCCTCGGTCTGCAGCTCCTCGGCTGCGTTTCATTCACCAGCAGACACTCATCTGAGACAGCTTCGCCAATTATCCCGCAGCATGCCAATTACGCGTGGATTGATATTTATTTTCTTCAGCTGTGGTAATTTCTTATGAATATTAATGCGGCTATTCTTAATTTTTCCAGCTCGTGGGCTGGTTTGTTAGCAATTCAGATGGATTTGGGTGAGAAAACATAAACAGGTTTGACCTTGCGTGGCTGCTGTGTCGTCGGAGGAGGAGGAGGAGGAGGAGGGCGGTGCTATCAGCCGCGCAGCTGCCTCTCGGTGAATGTGTTGAACAAGCACTCTTGCAGTCGCATTAAAGTTGAACGTATAAAAGCAGCGATAGTAAAAAATATATAAACCACAGTGCTAAACACCTTTTTATAGGTCTTCTATCAACAGTTAGCAGCAGTTGGTTGGCTTTGGAGGAGCTGCAGCTTAAACATTATTTAACTACAATGAAAACACACAAAAAAAACACATTGGACAAATGCATCCGAAGAACAAAGCAGAGTGGAGCTCTGCAAAGTTTCCGTGTCAAACTTGAACAAAACGTGCAGCCATTAGATTAATAGCTGACTTTAATGACTCACCTGACTTTTTTTTCCCGTTGGCATTTTCATTAATGCCACAGGTATATGGTTAATTGTTCTGCTACGGCATTTCTTCAGTTACTTTTCCACCCTTTTTTTTCTCCCTGTGATCAATCACCCCGGGCTCTGACCTGCTTTCACCTTCAGTTACAATTGGAAACAGCCGAGCAAAGTGGTATCAGAAGGAATAAAACAGGCGTGACCGCTTGCCTTTTTGCTCTTTTTAGGGAATCTGTCTCGCTCCTGAGAAGCCGGTGGTACAAACGGCAGCCATTAATGGGCCTCAGAGGAGACATTTTATCCTCCAGTCTAGCCTGCATTACGGTGGAAGAATCCATTTTTGTATGGTTTTGCTTATACCTGCACCAAGACGTGGCCCTAATAGAGCTCCGATTTCAATTAGGCTACTGTACTGGTCTCTGAGGTTGAGGCTGCTAATGGTGATCTGGAACACTCACCACTTTGTGCTTTCGCTCCTTTTGTTTCGCCTCATTTTGTCTCTTTGCTTTCTCCTTAAGCTGTGGCAGTGGAAGGAAATGACAGGAGCCACGCAGACGTTGCAATTTCAGCTCAACTGGCTTTTATAGGCCTGAAGCGAAAACACTGGCCCCTTCCCAAAGTATATGTACAACCTGCTCCTGTGTCCTCGGCAGCGGCTGCCTTAGTTATGTGCAGCGTGTCTCATATTGTCAGTCACAAGGCCGGACTACGGTTTCACCCGACAGAACAGAGGCGCTCCTGTATCTGCCTCCTACTTGCCCCGTTCAGTTTCCATTCTGCCTCCTTGACCGCCAATCACCCTCGTTACAGCAGCGCGAAGGAGCTGCTCAGCTGCAGACAGCCAGAATAGAGACGTACGCTCTGGGCAGCAGCAGGAGAAACCTTTACTGTCCACCAGCCTCCTGGGTGAGTTGGCACGGCTTCCCAGGCTTGTCAGACTGATGGAGTGCTTAAACTGGGACAAGAGGAGAGGTGCAGCATTTGCTGCCTGGCTAGAGTAAATATTATGGCGCGTTGGCCCAGGAGTTGTACTGAAACTCTGCTCTGTCACAGAGAGAGCGGCAAAGGCTCGCTCGACACACTGCAGCACAGAGTTCTCCGTCACAGCATCCTGTAGCAACTTTAAGTCGAGCATTTAGATTTCTTTTTTTCAGTTTTTCTCATTGCTGTTTAGTGTGAACAACACAATGCATTTGTCGTCAGTGGGAAGTGCATATGTGGAAAATATGAGGTTTTATTTAAATTGTGGTATCTGTGACTTTAATACCTCTGAGAAAATATTTTTTTTTTTGCACATTCATATTCATTGTTTTGCTTAATTCTTCTATAATCGTCCCACAT